TAAATAATATACGGTCAGCTGACAGTCGAACTTCTTTCTTTTTGTGTGCCATGTCCTTTTAGGACATAGGTGATCATGGCTCTCCACATCCCTCTATCCCCGTCCTGGGTACGACGATAAATTACATCCGCGTCCTGGATACGACGATAAACTACGCCCAACAGCAAAGCCTCTGATCAGGAGGTTTTGAGGAAGTTTTGAGGAGCATGGAACTAGCTCTTAATTGCTGGTGATCCCATGTCCACCCTGATCCGGGGTGGTAGCACCTGTTAGGATCCCAGCTATGGGCAAATAGTTAACCTTGAAACTAAGGTAAACAACATTATGAAAGTGTAAAAATTTCATTTCGCTCACTGGGGTAGACTGTTCTAGTTCCACGTGCCATGTTTTTTGATGGATGTCAGTTATCAGTTATCTCCAGTTAATTCGCCACTGTGCCATGTGTCCTTGAGGACATCTGGGTATGAATTTCTGGGTATTATAAACCTGCGGAAGGGAATATAAAGAAGAGACAGGCCGCCCCCTCAAAGTAAGGCTTCAAGAGCACCTGAAAGCTGTAACACGAGGGGAAGTGGAAAAATCAGGCGTGGCTGACCACATATGGAGAGAGAAGGGAGATAACCGCTTTCTGTGGAACCATGTTGAGATCATAGACAAGGAACGCCATTAGAAAATTCGTAAACTTAAGGAATCATCACATATGCTAGGCCACAAAAATCTCCTGAGCCGACCAAGCATAGAAATAAATACAATATGGGAATCAGTAATAAGGAGTGCCAGAGAAAAGCAATGATAGCAACAAAGTTGCAATATGAGCTCTGGTAAAAACATGTAATGATAACAGCAAAAATTGAGCACTGGTAAAAATGGTTACTGAAGACATTAGGTTTATAATACTCAGAAATTCATACCCAGATTTCCTCAAGGACACATGGCACAGTGGATAAAGTCATTGGTTAGATCCAATGACAGGATCCAAAGAGTGTGAGTTCAATACCCGGTTAAGTCAGTGTAGAACTTTAGGAGGGAAATTAACAGGAGATAACTGTTAACTGACATCCATCAAAAAACATAGCACGTGGAACAATCTACCCCAGTGAGCGAAATAAAGGGTTCAGTTCGACATTCCAACCACCTGAAGAAGACCGGAACGTACAACGGCCGAAACGTTGTAATAAATATGGCGACAAAGATGAGGACAATAGTCCGAATAATGTAAATAATGGACAAATTTTTTTTTTCCAACATAAATGCGGTTGGTTCAGATTACATGCATTGTGCTGTTTAGCACCATAGGAAGGAACTCTTTATATGGTGAAAATACATCTAATTTGATCTTCAACAAGAGGCAGAGAAAATCCAGCTTTAGTATATTAGTCCCAAGATAGCCAAGGAATGGAGCTACGCAACTGACTCAGTCGACTAACGGATAGCGACAACAGTCGCCAGATATTCAGTCATATTAAATATCGAGCCCTTGTCACGTCGACTGCTTTCTCTAATGTCACCCCTAATAGAACAATTTCTATAATAACTGTATGATATATCCATGAATGATATTGAAACTCTAATATAATTCAACTAATATCTATCACAAAGTACCAATGCCATTAATCGCAGAGTCGAAAATAGTGCAGAGAGGCAGTTTTGCATCCTGATTAGCGTTTCTAATGTCTTCTTTCTGATTGTTGTTAAGTTTGTTGCACCTTTGCAATAATGCACTGTTAAATGTACTTGTTAAAGTTTTTTTTTAATTAATGCATTCTGTCTTTAATTACAAAATGCATTAATTTAAAAAAAATTAACAAGTACATTTAAGAGTGCATTATTGCAAAGGTACAACAAACCTAAGAACAAGCAGAAAGATTAATGCATTGTGTCTTTAATTACAGGATGTGTGTTGTGGCTCGGATTGAGAACTCGTTAGTGCCGAGTTCGAATTCTAGTCGAGTTTGTTAGATTTACTTTACGCAGAAATACCTTTGGGAAAGTTCAGGAATCCACCTCTTCCCACCTTTCAGCTATGAGTTGAATAGCAGGACAAAATGGGTTCTTTAGCCTTGGTTAGCGACAAGTCTGCCATAGAAAGAAATGACAACCTACTGCGAGAAAAATGTTCTACCTCGTCAGTCACGTATCGAAAGATGCAGGTTCGCCCAAGCGTGTATCATTGTGGCACTTAACTGACTGACTTTAAATATACGCATGCGTAATTGATATCAATTTTTTTTTTTTGTTTTCGTTTCAATTACAAACAGCATTTTTTCTATTTTATTCTTTTCATAGTTATATATATATATATATATATATATATATATATATATATATACTGACTCTCTATCTCAGTCTGTTCATTATTTAAGTTTGTTCATATAAATTTAACTTTTATTTTGTTCACATCTCTCTCTATTTCTGTTTATCTGTCTATGCCTGCTTCTTTCTTTCGCTCACTCTCTCTTTCCATCTATCTATTTATCTATCTATCCTTCCATATCTATCTATCTATCTATCTATCTATTGTATGTAACGTGAGCGCCTTTTATATACAAACTTTAAGTACTCAGTAATGTTAAAAAATTTTATATTCTCCGTAATCTAATGTTTATTGTATTTTAGAAACATTGGATATAAATTTACTCTAGCTATCGCTCGTATTTTCTGATAATGTCATGTATAGGCGTCCGTATCTACAATAATCGGCACGTTTATACACATACAAAAAACATTCAAAATTTATTAAAAATATTGGTATTTGATGGTTTGTACTAATATTTTCTATTTATAGTTAGTAAGCATACTTTGTACTTAATAATGTATGCACGGACAAACACATACATACATACACACACACATATATATATATTATAATTATTTTTAAAAAAATATGATTCCTTCGCTACATAAGAGTTCTCATGTTTCAAAAACGAGAGCTGAAACCCTCAATATAATTATTAAAATTAAATTGAGTTAAAGTATCAAGCCCTGTTTCATCCTCAAGTGAAAATTTAGGAATAACCAATCTTGAAATTTACGCATCTTTATAAGCATGTTCATTCGTACAGTTAATTACTATGTAAACGACTTGGGCGACCATTTTGGTAAGGGGCCTAAGAGATAATTTATATATATATATATATATATATATATATATATATATATATACCATATTTTTATTTTAGCTGAGGACAAAAATGAAAAAATTCTGTTCTGACCTTTACTTATGAACTATCTTGCATGTTTTTGTGAAGTCTAGTAATATGACATCTCGAATATTCTGTGTTTAAAAACAGTAATTTGGACTTTAGGGTACAGCCTGCTCAAAAGGAAAATTATGGAATAGTATTTATCGCTAAAATCAAAAATAACCATGACCACATGACAAAAAAACGACAAACAACGGGGGGGGGTATGTACTTTATTGAACAACAGAAAAAAACCTATTCTAATAACCAGCATACCCTGAAGATCCGTTTAGGTGAAACCTAGGTAGGTTTGCCGGGCTTTTTAGGATTATCTTAGGTTTTCTACTTCGTGTATTGAGCACTTTACATAGTTGTCTTGTTACTCGTTTTGTGTTGTTTTTTTTCTTGGGACTTGGAGCTTAAACACTGGACGATTGTTTTCGCCTTGTTTTAATGTTCTTGGTTCTTTCATTTTTTATTTCCCATTTTTCCTCGGCTAGCGATTTGTTCTACTGCGAGTTGAGCTATCCGAGGTTTTTCCTAACGAGTACCACCGTGTATATATATATATATATATATATATATATATATATATATATATATATACACATATATATACACTTTAAAACACTCTAATCTTTATTTAATCCATTCTTAAAGAATCTAAAGTGTGTTTGTCTACCCCAACCGGTAATTACGTGAAGAACAACAACTAAATATAAATAATGTCTGTTTGGACCACACCCACATATAGATATACATTATCATCCAAACCCTGCATAGACAAAGTAGAATTAGGATACACTTATTATACGCACGAACACTACTTGAAATATCAAATGTCCTTGAAGCCTGCTTGACCAATGAAAATGAAACAAAACAGTCATAAAAATACTATAATTTCTTTTTCTCTATACCTCATTCAGTGCTAAAGATTTACTAAAAGCGAAACATGTTAGATTGATAAACGTTTTCTATTTGTTCTTTATCTTATCAATCTATATACATATTCTTTCTTATTATTATTCTATATATCATATCATGTTTACAGTAGATAGTTTAAAATATCGAGGTTTGTACTAATAGTTTTAATACTTATTTTTTTTAAATCTCTCGACAACTTCATTACTTAGTTATCTCCCCTGAAGCGTTACTCAAGTTAATTGCACCGCACTTAACTCAGCGTTCTTCAATTCACGAGTAGAAAATTTAATTTTCCGATAGACACAGCAATTTGGTTTTTGAAAATGATGAGTACTACAATATTTGTTTTGAAATAAACAACAACATGATGATGACACTGTGCCAATGTTAAAAGTACTCTGATTAAATAATATGTATCAACACGGTAATATTTCTCTCTTCCTTTAATAATGACATCAAAAAGCTTGTCCGTGAATCTGAAAAGATCCATTTGAAAATAAGTTGACAAAATTTGTCTAATATGTATCACATATACTCAGTATTCTTGGAGGATGGAATCACAAATCTGTCTCAAAGATGGTGAAATATAGAACAAAATGACACATATGTTATTGAATAAATCTAGAAATAAATATGTAAATATTTTATTTGAAATTTACTTATAAACGCTACGAACTTTTGTCCCGAAACAATATATAAGGGTGAAAAATTTCATTATGTAATATATGAAACATTTGATTGGTAAAGAATAGAGTATACAATTTCAAAAGTCCCTGTCTGCGCATCCATACCGTGATTAGATTGGGGGTAATACTGGTTACTTCTTTTTTTAGACTAAATTTATTGGCCAGGATTCTGTTACTTACTTACTTACTTAATTACTTACTTACTTACAGAAAGAAAGAACGAAAGAAAGCAAGAAAGAAAGAAAGAAAGAAAGAAAGAGTAAAAAAGGGAGAAAGAAAAAAATGAATGAAGAAAGAAAGAAAGGAACTAGGAGATGAACTAATGAAAGAAAAGAAAATGTGAGAAGGAAAGAAAAAGAAGAGAGGAAATGAAGAAACAAAGAATAAATTATAAGGAAAAAAGAGAACGAAGAAAGACGAAAAGAAAGAAAAAAAGGAAAGAAAACAGAAAAGAAACAAGAAGAAGGGAAGAAGAAATTAAAAGAAAAATAGAAAAGTAGGTAAGAAATAAAATAATACAAAGTCAGAACGAAAAGAAAAAAAGAATGAAAGAAAGAAAGAAAAGAGAAAGGGCAAAAGAATGAAAAAGAAAGAAAGAATAGAAAAAAGAAAGAAAGAAAAGAGAAAAGAAAAAAGAATGGAAAAAAGAAAAAATGGAAAAAAGAAAGAAGAAAGAATTAAAAAAGAAAGAAAAGAAAGAAAGAATTAAAAAATGGAAAAAAGAATGGAAAAAGAAAGAAATGGAAGAAAAAAGAAAGAAAGAAAAGATAAAAGTAAGAAAGAATGAAAAAAGAAAGACTGGAAAAAAGAAAGAAAGAAAGAAAAGATAAACGTAAGAAAGAATGAAAAAAGAAAGACTGGAAAAAAGAAAGAAAGAAAAAAGAGAAAAGTAAGAAAGAATTAAAAAAAAGAAAGAATTAAAAAAAGGAAAAAAGAATGAAAAATAGAAAGAAATGAAAGAAAAAAAAGAATGAAAAAAGGAAGATACCAATAAAAATTGCTAAAACAATGGAGAAATAAAGACATGAAAAGCGGAAAACGCATAGAAAACAAGGAAAAGTGTGGATAATTGAAAAGAAAAAAACACTGATATTTCTAAAAATAATGCAACTCCACGTCTATAAAAAATGTCAAAACGAGACAACGCATGCGCATCGATCATTTCTCAACACCTACATGAAAAAAAAAAAAACTGCGAGCAAGCTAGCAGACACTCCCACCCGAGGAAAGAGTAATTTTATAGTATAAAGCGTGTAGGTGGCAAAATTGCGAGCAGATGTACACTTGAGCGCATCACTGTCTTGAAAAAAAAATGTACTTAGCAATGTTTTAGAAAAAACTGTCCCTGGGAACCATTGTCATATGAGCGATTGCAAGTTGCCGCAGTTTCAAATTCACATGCGTAACGGGGCTGAGAATTATGTCTCGTGTTGCAACCATTTTAGGCTTTTCTGCAGTTCTTTGCTAGTTAGTTACACTATTGTTTATTTTGGATTTTACAAGACTTGTAACGCATTCCTTCAAGTTACATGCTCCCTTCTCATGTAACCGAACTGTGAAAATATGTTAAGGATATTGCATTTTACCAAATGTGCTACAACCTGAAAATGAAGCCTTTTTACACTCCGGTGAAAAAGAAAGATTTTACAACATAAATGAAATCCCATGAATTTTGATTTATAGGATATTCGGTACTCGGACATTTGGCCGGCGGACATTTAAACGAATAGACGTTTAGCCGAAAATGTAGTGACGTACTTATATGTGTATCACAATCTTTATCGTAATGTTTTACATATATTTATATTTATTTACTGTAGTAATTTATAATTTTTCGATATTTTTTATTTTTATTTTATTTTATTTTATTTTTTTTGACAGGCTTTTTTTTAATCTAATCTGTATATATTATATTTTACTTCAAATATTACTGTAAGTATTTTGAGAAAAATCTAAAACTTTTACGATATGAAAGATCTTTCAGTTTCTCTTTTAATGATCATTATCTTAAAGGGATGAACTAGTTTTTATCTTACTGTTGAATACAAATTTAAATTATTAGGTGCTACCTTTTACCCAAATACACACAAGTATTTTTTAAATGAACTTTTAACTTTAAATTTAATCACCTGAAATTCAGTGGTGATTATTAGTCCTAGTCTACCTTATAATAGTCAGTTATGTGCCATGTGTGATACACGATTAGGCAATCATGTATCTTTCGATACATGACTGATTTTTCTCGCAGTAGGTTGCCAATTCTTTCTACGGTAGACCAGTTAATATCCAAGGCTATAGAACACGGTCTGTCCCGCTATTTACACATAGCTGGGGAGAAGATGAGGATTCATACCTTTCCCAAGGGTATTAGCACGTAAGTGAGTGTAATGGATTTGACAATGAAAATCGAGCCGCTATCCATTACTCCACCGTGCCTCCTCATAATACTGTTAATTAAAATACCTAAAGTATAGCTTGTTACTATTTGAATTTGTACTTTTTCGGTGAAATGTCCGTCGGCCAAATGTCCGTTTGATCAAATGTCTGTCTGCCAAATATCAGGCTACTAGAATATTCGGATTCTATCGGAAATGCCTTCATTAATTCTTTACCATTAACTATCTTTTTCAAACCAAACAAGGCAATAAAAACACTAAGACGCAAGAGGTTATTAATGAAAAGAACGAAAGAAACATTACTGAGCTGAAAGGAAATTTAAAAAAAAAAGATTCAAGGAGACAGAATATATAGATTGACCTTGCGTTTAAATTTTTGTAGGATGTGCTTAACAGAAAAGCAAGAACCAACTCCACAGCTATAGTGTGAGAGAAGAGAGTATTAGAACAGAACTTGCAATTACGCAAATTCAACAAAGTTAAGTCTTACTCAATTTTTATTTGTAACATACAGGCTAAGTACAAAACATGTTTAATATGATAAATATTCCCAAACTCATTGTTATATGCTTTTCTACTCAAACTCTCATTCTAATCTTGGCTGTTATACTTAAAACGTTTCAGTTGTTGTAACTTTTGGCCTTCTTCAGGCATGTAATAATGTGGAGATGCGCATTTAAAAACAACACGAGACTTAATTGTACATTACATTTTATTCACTCCAATAATTCGGCATTAATTCTCAGCCAATGCAGGTGTGAGGCAGTCCTACACAATCGCCCGAAACGTCGTCTTTACATTCCGCCAGCGGTAAGAGCTGTTTACGAGGTCCTATAGTTTTCTTTCCGGGTCGGCCATCAACAAAGTGTAATCTGCGTATCTTATGTAGTTAAGATTACGCCCACCGATAATAAATCCTGGGTCTCAAGTTCCTTGAAGTTAGTGTCACCGTAGACGTTGAAAAAATCTGGGGAGAAGGTGTGTCCTTGTCTTATGTTCCCTTTGATTTTTGCGTAGCTACTCAATTCATTTTCATTCATTTTCTATCCGTATGCAGGCGGTTTGCTCCTAGTAGGAGTTCTATGTTATTCAAACATATTTTCCAAATCTGATAATCTAACTAAAAAAAAACAAACTTTGTTCTTTGTTTGAAATACGAGTCAACTGATACACAGTTATTTTCTAATTTTATGTCCATAACAAAGACCTATTTGAACTGCTAGGTAAGCTTGACTGGAAAATTTGACAACCACAAGACATATTGAAGGCAAGAGGGAAGGAGGGGAAGCAACGAGCAAACACCTAACGAGTTTGTGCAAATAGAAGCCAGAGTAGTGACTGGAAGAGATGGTGAAATGACAAACCTTACATAGAGTTACAAATGATAATAAGTTGTGAAGAGCCATAACTGCTCGTGTCCTGTAGAGAGCGCTAGGAGACAAATATTGCTTAAATAAGGTGGCTGCGTCGATACTGTTATCATCATCGATTAAAATTTTTGTCACTGCAGCAGTTCTTCTGTTGTGCGAGCCGTTGGTTGATACGTGGACTTTACATTCTGTCTGCGATGTGTGAGAGACTACCACTTGGTGTTTGTCTTTATATAAGCACGTGTATTACAGACTCTTCTCTCCATGTGCAAATAACCAAGCTAAATACTAGTAAGTTTTGGTTCACCACTGCTGTGGCCTGGTATTGAACTCACTACTCTTTGCGTCTAGTCACTGGATCTAACCAAAGTCATTATGCACTGGGCCATGTATCCTTGAGGAGACATCCGAAAGAGATATGGCACGTGGAACTGGAACAATCTAACCTGGTGGACGAAAGAAAGGGTTCAGTTTGAAATTCCAATCACCTGAAGAAGGCCGGAGCATCCAACGGCGGAAACATTGTGAATATGGCAGTGAAGATGAGGATAACAGTCCGAATAATGTAAAGAATGCCAATAAACCTGGATGTTAAAAATCAGGAAAAATATCGTGTTTAGTGCTAAATATTTTATGATGAAGCGATGACTAAGCATTAATTGATTGATTAATTCGTTTTTTACTGTTTACCAACCCTTTGCAGGTTATTTAAAACTAGAAAAAAATTTTTAACTTTTAAGTGACTATAATGAACTCAAAGGAAATTTAAACTCAAGTCTCCCATTAACAATTCCGAGCCATTATGCATTACACCACCTGCACATCCTAGATGACACTATCTGGTATTCCCAAGTGGTCACCATTTTAGCATTTGTTCTTTTGCACGAGATGACTATTGAAAAATTATTCCCATCTACCATTTCCAATATTGTGACTGAAGACCTGATATATCTTGGGTTGTAGAAACCATAGCGAGGTACTGGAGGGAGATTGGTTAAGCAACGTTATGAGATCTCTTTTATGTATACGCGGACGTCGGTAGCGGTGAACAAGTTCATGTATTTATAGATATCCAATCGTTTCTTGGAAAAAACGGCTTAGAAAATAATACTTTTGCGAATCTCGTATCATATTTCAAAGTATTGACCAGGGGCTGTATGTCTTCCGGCCTGGATCTGTGCGTTCAGCGACAAGTATTCCCAGGGCGCGAGTACCTGACTTTTATGAGCAGTAACATTATCGATAGGTTATCATCCAAATGAATAAATTGGCAACCACGTGCAGATAGATGAGTTATAACTGAGAGTATTTCTTCAGAACTTATAATCATGCCAAAGAGGTTTCAGTGTAAATGTATTCTTTGAATCAATTAATGGTGGTAATTTGAGAAGCGGTTCAACTGCTGTTCATATTTTACTGGCAAAAAAAAAAAGACGAAATAAACACATTTAGAAGAGGCAGTCTTTTTGTTCGGCGTTAACAATACAATTTTTGAAATTCAAAGTTTTTTTCAAGAAATATAGTTAATTTTGCAGTTCATTTTGTACTAAATTCTTGGCATGTTGCATTTATTTTACAGTTTAGCGTTTCATTTGAAAATATAAGCATAATCTTTCAGGTCAGATTTTTTTTTAATGTTTAATATCGTATTATAATTATGTTTGTCTTTCCTTTAGTTAGCACGACCGTCACGCCCTGGCTAAATCAGATGTTAAAAGCGGAGGAGGCCATATTAGATGTTATAAGGCTAAATACGATATGTGGAGTGGATAAGTATAGACTTATCAGACTTCTATAACCTCATCAAGATGGGTATATTAGATTTCGCGTATTTATACCTCGGTGTCACTTGGCTGGCATGCTAACAAGAAGAAGAAGAAGAAGAAGAACAACAACAACAATAATAATAATAATAATAATAATAATAATAATAATAATGATAAATTTTAAGGGAAGGAAACTGCCAGAAACCGATCCGATCACTACCTAGACCTCGTTACAGAGATAGAACCTAACAATTTTATGAGATTTCAAATGCGCACAGACAGAACAACGAAAGCTAATCGAACAGACATCATCGAATATAAAATGATCAAAACCAAAGTAGATTCATCACCTAGAATTGACATAAAATGATCACATAGTTGTTACAGACACCTAGATGTAATATTTGAATGATCACAAAAAAAGAAAAAAAACTATGAAATTAAATCTCAATATAAAATGATCATGTGGCCAAAGTAGTTCATGAAATCAACAATTCCTCAATATAAAATCTCCCATTTTGAAGTAGAAAAAGTTTCATAGACTCAAATCAAAGGAAATAATAAAAGTCTTAATAAAAATAAAATAATAATAATTTCAAAATAAAATAATAGATTGATGTGACATTTCTGACCTTAGATCTCAATATAAAATGATCACATACCAAAGTAGATTCATGAAGCATTTGATCTTAATATAAAATAATTTTACCAAAAGTAGAATGAAACCTAGATCTCAATAAATAAAATGATCACATGAAAAAGTCAGATTCATGACCTTAGGTCTCAATATAAAATGATCACATACAAAGAAATTCAAAGGACACCTAATAAAAATATAAAATGATCACATAAAAAAGTCAGATTCCATTTCAGACCTTAGGTCTCAATATAAAATGATCACATAGGAAAGTGATTATGACACCTAGAAATCAATATAAAATAATAAATATAAAATGATTCATGAAAATGTAGATCTCAATTCTAAAATGATCACATACCAAAGTAGATTCATGACACCTAGAAATCAATATAAAATGATCACAAATCAAAAGTAGATTAATGACATATAAATCTGATCATGGAAAATGTCATGAAGCCATTTCTTCCTTAGGTCCCTTAGATCTCAATATAAAATGATCAATACCAAATCAATTCATGACATAGATAATAAATATAAAATGATCACATAAAAAGTAGATTCATTTCTGACCTAGGTCTCAACCCGGAAAAATGATCACATACAAAAGTAGATTCAAACAAATAGATCTCAATATAAAATGATCACATAAAATGTCAAATAGATTCATGACACCTAGATCTCAATATAAAATGATCAATACCAAAAATAATAGATTCATGACACCTAGATCTCAATATAAAATGATCACATACCAAAAAGTAGATTCATGACACCTAGATCTCAATATAAAAAATGATTACATACCAAAAGTAGATTCATGACACCTAGATACAATATAAAATGAAGGAAATAATAATAAATAGAAAATGATCCTAGATGGAAAATATCAAAGCCATTTCTGACCTTAGTAGATTCTGACACCCTAGGATCTCAAAAAAAATGATGTATACAACAAAAATAGAAAGGAAATAATAATAAATATAAAATGATCATGGAAAAAGTCATGATTCATTTTCCTAGATCTCAATTAAAATGATCTTGTTAGGAAAGAAAGAAAATTCATACACACCTAGAAATCAAAAAATAAAATTAATATAAAATGATCAACACCTGGAAAAAAATGTCACAAGCCATTTCTGACCTTAGGTCCCATGACACCTAGATCTCAATATAAAATGATGTATACAAAGAAATTCAAACAATAATAAATAATAAAAAATGATCAGTGGAAAATGTCATGAAGCCATTTCTGACCTTAATATCCCTTTTTGGACCCAAAAGGAAATGTGTATACACCAGAAATCAAAGGAAAAATAATAAATAATAAAATGATTCATGACACCTAGAAAATATCATGAACATACCAAAGTTTCTGACCTTAGGTCTCTAGATCTCAATATAAAATGATGTATACAACAAAAGTAATCAAAGGAAATAATAATAAATATAAAATGATCACATACCAAAAACTGTAGATTCATGACACCATTTCTGAATTATAAAATGATCACATACCAAAGTAAATTCATGACAAATAGAATCTCAATATAAAATGATCATAATAATAAAGTAGATTCAAAACCTAGATCTCAATATAAAATGATCACATGAAGTAGATTCATGACACCTAGATCTCAATATAAAATGATCACATACCAAAGTAGATTATGACACCTAAATCTCAAATAAAAAATGATAATAAAATAGAAAATAAAAATCAGTGGAAAAAATGTCATCATGAACCATTTAGATTTAGGTCTCCTAGTTCTCAATATAAAATGATCACATACCAAAAAAATTCAATGAAATAATAATAATATAAAATGATCAAAAACCAAAAATAGTTCAAAATGATGAACCCATTTCTGACCTTAAAATCCCTTGTTATACCAAAGTAAATTCATGACACCTAACAAAATCAAAGGATCAAATAATAAAATATAACAAAAGATCTCAATGGAAAATGATCACAAAATAAAAGTCTGACCTTAGGTCCCTTGTTCTCAATATAAAATGATATACAACAGAAATCAAAGGAAATAATAATAAATAATAATAATAATGATCATAATATCTCAAAAAATGATCACATGGAAAATATTTCATGACACCTAGATCTCAATATAAAATGATCACACCCCAAAGAAATTGTATACAACACCTAATCAAATATAAAATAATCATAATAATAAAATAATAAATGACAAAAAGATCAGTGGAAAATGTCAAATGATCCATTTCTGACCAGTAGGTCTCTTGTTACCTAGACCCTCAATATAAATGTGATAACAGAAACCAAAGAAATAATATAATAATAATAATAATAAATATAAAATGATCAGTGGAAAAAAGTCATGAAGCCATTTCTGACCTAGGTCTCTTGTTAAAATGATCAAATACCAATATGTATACAACAGAAATCAAATCTCAAATAATAATAAAATAATCACATACCAAATAGATTCATGAAACCTGATCTCAATAAAATGTCATGAAGCCATTTCTGAAAGTAGTCTCTCATGAGGACCCGGAAGAAAGAAATAAAATATACAACAGAAATCAAAGGAAATAATAATAAATATAAATCTTAATAATAAATGTCATGATTTTTTTCAAAGGAAAATTGTTCACAATAGAAAATGTCACATACAAAATCAATTTTTAATAATAAATATAAAATGATTAGTGGAAAATGTCATGAAGATCTCAATATAAAATGATCACATACCAAAGGAAATTCATGATACAAATAGAAATTAAATATAAAATGAATAATAATAAAAAAATAAATGATCAGTGGAAAATGTCAATATAAAATGATTCTGACCTTACCAAAGTAGATTTCATGACCCTAGAAAGGAAATATGTATATCACAAAGAAATTCATAATAAAAGATCTCAATATAAAATAATCAAATAATAAAATGATCAGTGGAAATATCATGAAGCCATTTCTGACCTTAGGTCTCTTGTTTTCATGGACCTAGAAGGAAATGAAAATGATCACAAACAAAATAGATTCATGAATAATAATAATAATATAAAATGATCACATACCAAAATGATCAATGGAAAATGAACCCATTTCTGACCTTAAAATCTCTTGTTTGGACCCTGAAAGGAAATGTTCATACAACAGAGAAACCAAAGGAAATAATAATAATAATAAAATAATTTAATGACACCTAGATTTCAATAAAAAATGATCATGGAAAAAAGCCATTTCTGACCTTAGGTCTCTTGGTTTGATCACCGGAAAGAAATGTGTATACAACAGAAATCAAAATGAATAATAATAAATAATAATAATAATAATAATAAAATGATCAAATATTAAAATAATTCATGAAAAATTTCTGACCTTAGGTCCCTTTTTCACCCGGAAAGTAAATTGTATACAACAGAAATCAAAGGAAATAATAATATAATAAAAAATAATTAGTGGAAAATATCATAAGATTTCAATATAAAATGATTTGTTATTTTTTAAGGAAATATGTATACAACATGATCAAAGAAATAATAATATAAAATGATTTCACAAAATGTCATTTGGTCTCTTACGGTCCCCTGTTAAGGACCAAAGATAAATGATACAAATAAAATCAAAGGAAATAATAATAAATAATCTCAATCATAAAAATGTCATGAAGCCAAAGTAGATTTATTTCACCTTGATCCCAAAAGGAAATGATCATGAAAAGAAATTTCAGGAAATAGAATCTCAATATAAAATGATTAGTGGAAAATATCATGAAGCCATTTCTGACCTGACACCCAAAGTTGATTAATAAATAATAATAATAATAATAATCATAAATCAAAGGAAATCATAATAAATAGATCTCAATATAAAAAAAATATCATGAAGCCATTTCTGACCTTAGGTCCCTTGTTAGGACCCGGAAAATAAATATGTATAGAAATACAAAAAAATCATTAGATAATAAATAATAATAATAATAAAAAATTTTATCAAAACTACCAAAAATAAAATTCATGAACCCATTTCTGACCTTAGGTCTCTTATTTTAGGACCAAAAAGGAAATGTGTATACCAGATCTCAAAAAAATGAAATAAATAATAAATGATAGATTCATAATAAAATAATATTTTGACAATAGGTCCCTTCACATGGAAAACATGTCAAAGAAACCATTTCTGATAGGAAATATCCAAATGAAAATATCAAATTTCTGAGTTGAATTCTATGACACCTAGATCTCAAAGGAAAATAATAATACAAAAGAAAAATTCATGATAATAATAAATATGAAAATGATCAGTGGGAAAAAGTCATGAAGCCATTTCTGACCTTAGGTCTCTTGTTAGGACCCGGAAGGAAATATGTATACAACAGAAATCAAAGGAAATAATAATAAAAATAAAATGAATCAAAATGGAAAATGATCACATAAGCCATTTCTGATAGATTAGTCCCTTGTTAGGACCCCGAAATAAATATGATATACAACAAAGTCTCAAATGAAATAATAATAAAATATAAAATGATTAGTGGAAAATGTCATGAAGCCAATTCTGAAAATAGGTCCCTTATTGAAAAGGAAATATGTATAACAGAAATCTCAAATAAAATAATAAAATAATAATTTATGACAAAATGATCAATGGAAAATGTCATGAAGCCATTTCTGACCTTAGGTCCCTTGGTTAGGACCCGGAAGGAAATATGTATACAACAGAAACCAAAGGAAATTAATAATAATATCTCAATATTAATAAAATGATCAAAAAATGGAAAATATCATGAAGCCATTTCTGACCTTAGGTCTCTATTAAAATGACCCATAGGAAATATGTATACAACAGAAATCAAAGGAAATAATAATAAAATAATAATAATAATAAAGTATATTTTTTTCCTTATCTCAATAGTGGAAAATACCAATGATGTATTTGACTGACCTTAGGTCTCTTGTTTGGACCCGAAAGGAAATATCATATACAAAATTCAATAAATCAAAATAAATAATAATAATAATTCATAAAGTAATAATAATCTCAATAAAAATGATCAGTGGAAAATGTCATGAAGCCATTTCTGACCTTAGGTCTCTTTGTTAAAACCCGGAAGGAAATATGTATACAACAGAAATCAAAGGAAAATAATAATAAATAATAATAATAGATTTTTGATGACACCTATGATCAAATAATAAAAAGCCATTTCTGACCTTAGGTCTCTTCATTGGACCCTAGAAGGAAATATGTATACAACAGAAATCAAAATAAATAATAATAATAATAATAATAATAAAAATGATTAGTGGAAAAATGTCATGAAGCCATTTCTGACCTTAGGTCTCTTGTTGGAACCCGGAAGGAAATATGTATACAACAGAAATCAAAGGAAATAATAATAAAAATAATAATAATAAAATTATTTTTCAAAAATTTCTGACGTTCAAAAAAATTGATAGGACCATTTCTGACCTTAACAGAAACCTGGTCAATAATAAAATGAAATGATTAGTGGAAAATGTCAGAAATCAAAGGAAATAATAATAATACCCGAATAATAAAAATAATTTTTTTATCAAAAATAAATTAATAATAAATAGGAAAATATCAATGAAAATGTCATTTCTGATTCATTTCTCTGGATCTCAATATAAAAGGATCCGGAAGGAAATATGTTCATACAACAAATAATAATAATAAAAATAATAATAATAATAATAAAATGATTCATGGAAAAAATCTCAAAATAAAATCCATTTCTGACCTTAGGTCTCTGACACCTTGACCCTCAATATAAAATGTGTATACAAAAGAAATTCAAAACAAATAATAATAATAATAAAATAATATCATTTATGGAAAAAAAATTGATCATGAAAATGTCATTTTTCTGACCTTAGGTCCCTTGTTTGGACCGGAAAAGGAAATATCATATACAACAGAAATCAAAGGAAAATAATAATAAATAATGAAATGATTAGTGGAAAATGTCATGAAATGCCATTTCAAAGAATTTCACCTAGGTCTCTTATTAAATGACCCGGAAGAAATATATACAACAGAAATCAAAATAAAATAATAATAAATATAAAATGATCAGTGGAAAATGTCATGAAAATGTCATTTCTTTCTGACCTTATGTCCCTAGTTAGGACCCGGAAGGAAAAAGAAAATATAAAAATAATCAAAGGAAATAATAATAAATAAAAAATGATTAGTGGAAAATGTCATGAAGCCATTTCTGACCTTAGGTCCCTTGTTAGGACCCAAAAGGAAATGATGTATATACAAAAGAAATCATAATAATAAAATAATAATAAAATATAAAAAAAGATCAGTGGAAAATGTCATGAAGCCATTTCTGACCATAGGTCCCTTTGTTAGAAAGACCCGGAATGGAAATATGTAATAAAATATAAAAAATAAAATAATAATAATAATAAATATGAAATGATTAGTGGAAAATGTCAAAGCCATTTCTGACCATAGGTCTCTTGTTTCATGACCCGAAAGATCTCAATGTATAAAAATGAGAAATCAAAGGAAATAATAATAAATATAAAATGATCAGTGGAAAATGTCATGAAGCCATTTCTGACCTTAGGTCTCTGGTGTTATGACCCGGAAGGAAATATGTATACACACAGAAATCAAAGAAATAAAATAAAAAATAATAATAAAATAATAAAATTTTGACCATAAAATTCAGTGGAAAATGTCATGAAAAAGATTTTGACCTTAGGTCTCATATAAAAAATTTTTGTTAATAACACATTTCTCAAAAAAATGTATCACAACAAAAATTAAATCAAAATAAATAATAATAAATATAAAATGATCAGGAAAATGTCATGAAGCCATTTCTGACCTTAGGTCCCTTGTTAGGACCCGAAAGGAAATGTATATACACAGAAATCAAAGGAAATAATAATAATAATAAAATAATAATTCATGATTAGTGGAAAATGATCTCATGAAGCCATTTCTGACCTTAGGTCCCTTTGTTAGGACCCGGAAAGAAATAATGACATACAACAGAAATCAAAGGAAATAATAATAAATATGAAATGATCAACAGAAAATGTCACATGAAACCATTTCTGACCTTAGGTCTCTTATTAAATGACCACATAAGGAAATAATTATACAACAGAAATCAAAGGAAATAATAATAAATATAAAATGATCAGTGGAAAAAATGTCATGAAGCCATTTCTGACCTTAGGTCTCTTGTTAGACACACGGAAGGAAATGTGTATACAACAGAAATCAAAGGAAATAATAATAAATATAAAATGATTAGTGGAAAATGTCAGGAAGCCATTTCTGACCTTAGGTCTCAATATAAACCCTGAAGGAAATAAAAGTATACACAAGAAACTAAAGGAAATAAAATAAAAACAATCAAAAAAAGTAATAATAATAAAAATTATTATTAATATTAAATTATTTAGTTAGAGATCTGTACATTAAAACATAAAGCTAGATATAAATATACAAAATGATCATTATACCAAAATCAGATAAATAATACCAGGCACATGCCTAATAGCCAAATGTTCGCTTTTTTTTATCAGATTTTCCCAAAAGCAATAATAAGTTGACATCAAATTTGCTAAAACGTGCACAAAAGCCTAACGTACCTGAAAACCAAATGGAAAGAAAACACTTACATTGCTGATACGCATGACGAGCACAAAATCCTAATGTTGACATAAATCTGACTCATCAGTGATTATGGAAGCCCGGTGAGAAACCAACAATTATTAGATTCAGATTTTTATTTTCAAAACTACTCACTGGAAAATGAAATGATGCCATTTCTGGCCTTAGGTCTCTGATCGGGATCCGGAAAGAAATAAATAGACACCAGAAATCGAAAGAAATAAAATAATAATATTAATATTAATAACAACGGCAACAACATAAGGGTTGAATTTGTATTCCCACACGTGAAGAAACTTTCAAATTGGAAAGGACTTGAACCTGATGAGATATACACTGATCTCCTGTATCTGTCTATATTTCTGAGATGAGGTATTATGTACACTATTTACATTATTCGGACTATTGTCCTCATTTTTGTCGCCATATTTATTACAACGTTTCGGCCTTTCAGTATCTGTCTATATTTCTGAGATGAGGTATTATGTACACTATTTACATTATTCGGACTATTGTCCTCATCTTTGTCGCCATATTTATTACAACGTTTCGGCCTTTCAGTATCTGTCTATATTTCAGAGATGAGTTATTATGTACACTATTTACATTATTCGGACTATTGTCCTCATCGCCATGTTTACTACAATGTTTCGGCCCTTCAGTATCTGTCTATATTTCAGATATGAGGTATTATATACACTATTTACATTATTCGGACTATTGTCCTCATCTTTGTCGCCTTATTTATTACAACGTTTCGGCCGTTGTACTCTCTGGCCTTATTCAGGTGGTTGGAATGTCAAACTGAACTCTTTATTTCGCTCACTGGGGTAGACTGTTCTAGTTTCATGTGCCATTTTTAATGGAGCGAAATAAAGGGTTCTGTTCGACATTCCAGCCACCAGATAGGTATGAAGGCCGGAGCGTACAACAGTCGAAACGTTTTAATAAATATGGCGACAAAAATGAGGACAATAGTCCGAATATTGTAAATAGTGTACTCATCTCTTGCTTTAAACAGCAAAATAGCAGGACTTGTAAATGATTCCGTATCTGGTGGCTCAATTCCTGATTGAAAATTGACCGGTTGAAGCATGAAGAATTGGCAATGAAGGACTCGGTTAGGGGCAATGAGGTTTGAAATTACTGACCAAATTACATGACTTTATTTACTTTGGAAATTGCTGACAAGAAACTTGAACATATATCAATTCCTCCATGAAAATGACCTGCTGCATTGTGAACGGAAACACTGTCACAAGGACTCGCTAATTGACAAAATGATCTTGAACTATTGTAAGAATCACCCATCTAATCTACAGATGATTCTGATTGATTTTGCTTCATTCATTGATCTTGGATGGATCCCAATAATTCGGTATAGCAAACAATATTATTATTCGTCACAAGAATAGGATGAGTTATTTGGGAAGGAAATGAGTGTCAAGAGAAATCAACGAAAATGGTGATAAATAATGGCTGACAAGATAGATTATTTAAAAAAAACAATATCAATAAAGATAAAAATGAAGGCAAAGGCGATAGAAAACTTAATAAAGTCGGCGAGCTTATGCGTCTTGGCACACTGAACGCTAAAAACATCGGTGGGAGATTTAAAAGAATGGTTACTGCCAGGAAGCATATCATAATTATGTGCTAAATGAAATATAGTCGAACTCTGTAAGGGTTGACCAAGGAGACGAGGTTTTAATCATTACGTTCCAAACTAAGGCCATGCAAAAATACGTCCTGAATAAGCGACAACGTTAATAATATAGAAAAT